GAAGTTGAGGTTCCACCCCAAAACCAATTGGCAATGAGGGGAGTAGCCCAACTCCTTATAAACCCAGGCTAGGTCCCTTAACATTTCAATGTGGGACAAACACTCTCAACACGCCCCCGCACGTGTGGCGAACTTTCAAGCCTAACACGTGGACAACACATATTAGGTGACGTGGGAGCACGTGTGGCCGTTGGGCCCAACACGTGAAGCCTTGCTCTGATACCATATAAGAAACAGAGTTCAGGGGGAGAGGGGAGATGAGAGATAGAGGAGGAGAGTAATTGAATCAACCAGAATGATTTGGTTTCTGTATTGCAGCCGTATATAATGTACAGAGAGTAGACTTTCTCAAGTCTATTTACAGAAAGAAGCAATACATGGTAAGTACAATAATCTCATATATGTTATGAATCAATTCTAGCTAATATGTCGTTGATCTTGGGGGGAAGAATCTGTCAAGTCTGATTTGGGGAAATCAACTGATTCCCTGGGATGAACCGGAGTGATATTCTCTTTATAATCAAATGAAAGAGTTAGAAAATGAAACTCCTGGTCTGGTTATGGAAGTGATTACCCTGGTCCTTCGCGATGGTGACACTGGCATAGAAGAACTCACAAGAAATCTGTAATTTTCTTCAGAGCTTTCAAGTAATTGGTTTTTTAGTATAATAATTAATTATTATTACATATATATTGACTGGTTTTGGAGAATTGGATTTTAGGAGAGAACGTGATATCAACTATCCTAAGGTGGCAGATCTTGCCCACAAGCTCAAGGGAATTGGCTCCAGGTAACATTGCCAATCACATTTAGGTTGCACACAACCCACTCAAAATATTTTATGATTGTTATGCCTGGTAAGGCCAAAATAATATCAAGGAACAAACAACCATTTCTAAGATTTTATTACCAAGATATTTTTCTGTATGACATGAGATTCTGGTTACATATCCAGAAGAAATTCTTTAGATATTTTCTTTTGCGTAGACTTATAAGTATGGGTGTAGTATTTCTTGCATGGGTTTAAACATTTAGAAGATGTATTGTTGGTTAGGAAGTTTCCAAAATGGGTGTAATAGTACATGGCATGTAGATCACATTTGTTAGCAATCATTAACTAAAGATGTCAGTGTCACGCGCGCTACACGTTTAAAACATTTGGAAGGTAGCGTTGACTAGGAAATTTTTCGATTTGGACGTAAATGAACATGGTATGGAGATCAACTTGTGAGCAATCATTAACTAAACAAAATCAACCGTAAGCAATAATTAGTTAAAAGATTCTCCATTTTTGGTTTTTTTTATGAAGACATGTCCAAAAAAATTTGAGTAATAAGGTGCTAACGCGTGACAGATGATGGAGAAGTCAATGTCACGCCCATGCTAGCGCGTGACAGATGATGTTTCATTTGATTTACCCATGCTCATGTGTGGCATATGCAGATTCATATGATTCATCCAACTAAATGAAAAGCTTAGATCAGATTGTCACAACCTAGGCATTGCTCATCTCTTTCTACCCTGTCTGTAAATTGGGGGAAAAAGTGTGCAAACAGAGAAATAGGGTGGTTGCCACCACTCTGCTGTCTGATCCAGTACATTACTTCCATTCAATAACCAATTCCCTGTCATCATATGTTCTATCTGGAAAATCACTTGGATCCTAACCTGCCTGAATCTATGGTAGCACCTATCACATTGAATGTTGAAAGTGCTGGCTCATTGCCAACAGATAATTCTGGGGTTCTCATTACTAACCTCACAAATACTCTTAAATTCTATGTCTTAGTGTCTTATAAGTTTATGATTTTGGGCCTTTGAGGACTTATTTTCCTTCAAGCTATAGTTGAATTCAAGTTTCGACTTTTGAGTCTCGAAATGTCTTTTATTGAGACTGCACATTTAGTCTGTTTCTAATCGGGGGTCAAAAAGCGTACACAAACTTTAATTAAACAGCAGAATTAACAAGAGAAAAATTGCTAGTCAAGTTTTAAATGTGACAGAGGAAAAGGCAAAGGCTGCTGGGGGTCTTGTTTATTTCCTGTTGTAGAAAATATTACTGCCATCTATAGACAATTTATTTATTACAAATGCTCAGCTTTTTATGCATCTTTTATCTTTATGAGCTTCGAAGGATGCAAATATGCTTCTTTGTACACCCTTTTACACTGGTAAGGGAATAATGGTCCATTTGCTGGATTTGGAATTACAGTGTTGGTGGTTGCCGGGTTTCTGCTGCTTGTGTTGAGCTCCGACAAGCAAGTAATGCGAAAAACAAACAAAGGTAATAATTTTCTCTCATCATCAAGCTTCTAACGATGGAATAACATGTGTCCACATCATACAGTCAGGTATATTTCATATATTTTATGGCACACATTATGCTATCAATATTGTGGAAAACATGTTAGTTTCACAATTCCACAACTATAAATTTCCAAATGATCAGAATTATAATTCTAGAGTAGTAGAATCTTTTAGGCCCTCATTGTCGGAGACAATTCTTTGACGAAAAATACTACATTCTCTTCGCAAAACTGATCGTTATCTTGAATTTATTTGAGGGATGATCTAGGCAAATGGTACATAATAAAAAAGGATGTGGATATTTATAAGAACTAACTATGCTAAAAAAAGTTGAACGTCATTCCTTGTTTACGGTAGGATGATTAGATTCAAATCTTAACTCTGGTCTACCATGTGCCAGGTTAAGAGTTCTTAATAACCCTACCTATATAGCCTTGCAATATATTTAGAACATAAGGTATTGAATATCATAGATCTAAAAGGCTACATGTATATAGTGTATCAGAGAAAATATTTTAGCCACTTCACTCAGACTTATAGAAATTATCTCATGGAATCTATCCTAGAGACCTCTTATCAACACTCTTTAACCAAATGCTATGCTTTTTAGGTGCCTTGCGGACTTTGACGCAGTCAAATGTGAATATCTTGTCTTGCGGGAAAGTTTGAATCACATTCTTCAGGTAAATGTTCTGGAACGAAAATACTATATTAGTGAACAGTTTCTGTGGTGGTTCTTCTCGGTTGCAAATGTTCTAATATTCTTACTTCTCTTTCTGTTTTTTTTTTTCTAATAAAAACTTGGGAAATATACTGAAGTATAGATGGAACGCACAATCAATGCTGATGAGCCCAAAAGGCGACATGAGTAAAGAGCTGGTTCATTCAGCCTTCTAGGAACTGTCTCCAGAAGATCAGATGGCCCTTTATATTGGCTATGTAATAAGTTTATTGCGGCTGAGCTTAGTATCTTTTATAGGCAGGTCCATGACTTGTTTAGTGTTGCATTTGGTATTCCAATAAGTTCACTAGTACTGTTAAGTGAACATAGTGTCTTGTTATCTCTGAGACTGCTTTTGTCTGTCTAATGTTTCGAAATCAAGTTTGGACTTAATTTGGTGTTGTCTTTAACGTATGCTATCTTATGAACAAATTAGACTGCTACAGGATAAAATGCTTCTGGGACAACTTTGGTTCTAGACAGAATAATAATGAGACGTCATATAGTTATGAAAACATAAGAAAAGTCACGAAACAGAAATCCTACAGTGACGACGGTTGTGCGGAGAAGGGGATTCGGGTCTTGATTGCAAGTCTCTTCAAGTCACGGCCTGGGGGGGCGCAAAACCATAAGGGCAACTCCACCCATTTGCCCTTAGCCATGGCAAGGGGGGGAGCTAGGGCAGCCACTATTCCCGTGAAAAGGGGGTGCCCTTCGAGAAATGGGATTTTT